AGAGGGACCGGCGAAGGTGGAAAGGACAAGAGTGCGGGGGGGGGCCTATTTACGGAAAGCAACGAGATTTCCATAATAGATGACCATGACATATAAATGAAACTCAATCAGATAATTTTATCATAAAAATTATAGTTACGCAATTGAACTTTATGAAAAGGTAAGAAAGACAAAATAAAAAACAACAAAAAACAGTGTCATGGTAATGGAATATATAGTATGGGAGTGAGCATAAGATGTGTTTGAGTAGCGAAATGAAAGTGGGAAAGGATGAAAGAAGAGGAGTGAAATCACCAGTAGAACAAATTCCTATCACAAAGAATGCGAAAAGTTCAGGTATACCATTCGTCAATTTTTCCTACATTAATAGAGTAGTTTCGGACGACAACGGCCACAAACAGAGAGGGCCCTGGACACGGAATTAACAAGAGCGTAGGCGTGGCAAGTGGACGTGACGCGCAACGGCCACCGCGGGGCCAAGTAAGGCACGCAGAAGAACAGCTATTCGAGGAACAGAGACATCACAGAGACACGAACGAGGAGCAACTTCTCTCTAAATGAACAGGTAGAGCACGATCAAGTGACGGACACAATAGAGTAAAAGTAGCGAGCAAATGGAATTAGCCAGAGCACGGGCGTGGGCGGTGAGCGAGTCGCGCAATGGAAAGGGAAGGCACGCGGGCACGAGAGCCTTGCAACGCGACGCGCGCCTAGCGTGAAATTCTTCAACGGACGATAAAAGCTGTTTTTACTGCGTGACTAAGCACGCTCCGACAAGCGCTGGCATGGAGGGTATTGCACGCGCCAGATGTTGTCTGTGTGCCGTGTTCCCTGCTACATTGTCTTTTCAGGCCACTCGCCGAGGTCGCCTCATTAGCATACTTGTAATTGGCGGCTTGGAAATACTTTAAATTGCTCATTGTGTCTGCTTTCATGTTCACAAATTTAGAGATTTAACTTAATGTAACCACGCTTTAATATTATTATTATTATTATTATTATTATTATTATTATTATTATGATTATTATTATTATTATTATTTTTATTATTATATGTCAGTTTGAACTTGCTTCAGGTCATGAGCTACCTCTCTTGCATATTTTCACGAATTATTTATGGGTTTATAATTTATACATTCTAAGTTTAAGGGTATTTTGCACTTTACAGTTCGCTCCTTACGGAAAAATGTATGTTAAAAAAATTTTGGGGTTTACTCTCCTCTAAAGCCGTAAATTGCACAGCATTTTTCGGGTGCAAATTTGGGTTTACTCGACTAAGAAAAGAAAGTATTTTGACGGACGATTAATACTATAAAGTAATAGAAGTCAATGTCAAGAAATAAGTGACGAAACACTTGGAATTAATATTTGTTAAACGTATAATACATAATAGATTTAACACGTTACTTATTAACATTTATATAAAACACCCTACTAGATATAGCTTCAAATATTATTCTTGTTACTGTTACAGTTTTTTACATTCACCACAGTTGAGAAATAATTGTAACAGCCGACTTCTGTAATTCAAGATCTGTAACTGACAACTTCAGAGATGGTAATGCAAAGGAACATCTGCATTCATGCGATGAAAACGAATGATTTAAAAACATTTTCTCCAAATATTGAAACTTAAAATTGGGAAGTGAGTAAACTAAAAATAGTTGTATGTATCTCGAGCTGAAATTGAATGATTTTGAATTCTGTAATTTACGAAACTCGTCTCCACTACATACGTGCCCTCTCAGGTGGTAAACATTTCTTCAAAAGTCATTCATTTTGTCTTTGATACATAAATAGATATTTTTTATTTCTTAGCAAAAAATGAACTACTGGATTCGAAGAAACCTGGTGTTCTATTCTCCATCGAATTGTATGGAACTTACAGTTTGCTTACTTTATGAACAGTTAAAAGATGTTGTGAAAATATTGTCTCCAATTACCAAGCCTCTACCTTTTCTTCTATGAGCTACCATTGATTTACATTATCTTATGTATAGAGAAAAGATTGAGGAGAATTGACTGAGGAAAAGATTGATAGAATATATGTTTTGGGGGATCAATGAAGCCGAAAGACGTTTTTCTTTCGAAAGAGTTATTTTTTCTAATCGACTGATAGCTGCGAGTCGACTCGTTCAACTCGACATAAGCTGGTAATATCTTACCAATTGTTCATCAGTCTTTCTGTCTTATCAACACTACTTCTAAAATTTCGCCAAGAATTTTCACCTAAATGGATATTCCTTGATCGATCGATTGCTTTCCGATCGATCCACGCGCACCTACAGCTAAGGTAATTAGTCCGGAAAGAGTAGGGCATATTCATCTCTCAAAAAATGGAGATGAACCCCCCCTAGGATGGTGAGATCCCGCGCCGACCTACCCATCGGTTCGCCGGGTTTTCCCTAACCAGGTATTTCCCATCTCCGGGGTACCATTCCAGCTGGCACAAGCTGTAACTTCCTGCTGGTCTCCCGACGTGTGTAGGATAGTGCATGTATATGGGTGGAGTGAGGAAAGGACAAGGAAGAGAAAGGAAACATCGCGCGCAGCCCATGGCCCGTTTGTTAGAGACTGCTTCGGCACTCACCTGGTGTTGTTTGAAGAAGTCTCGGAAATCTACCAATCAAAGCAGGCGGCCTCTAGAATTCTCCTCGAGGCAATAACTGGATTCGACCTAGCTATGTAGATAGTGCGGAAACTAGAACCACCGTCGGGTCTGGAATCTCAAGCCCTTGCGGTCAGAGGCACTGCAGTGACATCAATGGAAGACCTGACCACCTAAGACAGTTCCTTGATCGATTTGGGAGTTGTCGGTACCCCTTAAATTTCAATAAAATCTTTTCATTTTTTCTATTTTAAATGATGTCCCTACGACATTTTCGAAATTTTCAAAAAAATAAACTTAAAAATGTCAAGTTCCAAAATAGAGGTTAAAAGATTGTCTGTAGTCACATTGAAGTCCGTTTCGAGTTTTATTTATTCAAAATAAATCACTTTTTCTCAAATGACTGCAGATTACGTAAAGTAGTTACATTGACTATTTCTTGCGCATTAAGTGGATCTAAGTATACATTCTAATCTTTAAATTATTGAACAGCTCAACTCAATTTCGTTTGCTGTTGCTCGACTTCAATACAATGAAAAATGACAAATATTTTATAACTCAACTTTTTTAATGTGGTTTTTCCTAGCTGCTGGGTAGGAGAAAAAAACTATTATTGTATAGGGACTCGTATTCTTCCGCTACTTTTGTAATCAGTGCACTTTACCTTGGCTATGAAGACAAGAATTTTGTTCGACTCCTATGGCTTGCTCCGATATACATTATTAATTCCATTTGCCTTATCGACCTTAGCACAAGTGGAAAATTTCAATGTATGAAGTAAAGGGTTGAAGGATGACGCAAAAGTATGGCGTTTACCGTTTTCTAGATGTGCTGTTGGCTGACTAACAAGCAAGACTTTCCTTCCTTCGAAAATTTCCACGCTTCGCCTTGTGGATGAATCTATGAAGTGCTGTTGCCAGACTCTCGCGTGTCGAATATATTGAATACGTCTTAGAATGTATAATAGTAGAACAAATAAAATCAAAGAAACACAAAATGTGGAAATAACAGAACGGCAGTCCATTTCTATCAGTTATACGTGCGAATCACATAGTAATATAATATTTTCATTATATATTATCAAAATTAGAATCTCTTTACCTCCTTTAGAGATCTTGTGGTGTTTATATTCTCCAACGTGTCTGCTTCTCGTTCCGTCGGAGAATGTACTGTGTGATAACGCTAAATCTCTCATTTACGATAGTAAAGTCCGCCTCTACTCGTAGCCGGAGCGAAAAAAGACGTTCTTTCTCGGGCCGTAGCTTGCCCTTCCTCTTGTGATAACATTGTGTTCCTCGCCGCTCATTGGCCGCTTATCCAAGCGTAGCGTACATTTCGTCGGACACGTTTTCAAACTTATCAGGTACTGCGCTGTCCCAGGTTTTGGGGTACGATCGCTTTTGAAATCGTGGCAACTAGTGGCGCGGGATTTTATTGGTAGTTAGTGTTCATCTGACCAAACAGTCACTCCACCCCATCCTTTACTATAAATAGTTGAATAATGAATAAAAAAGTATGAACGAAGCCCAGTTATCAACATTCGAAACTATAAATATTCGCTCTCGAGTTCTAGGAAACGTATTTGAATCGGTAAATGAACTACAGATTTAATTTTATTGTATTGCTAACAAAAGCGCCACTAGAACCCTTGGTTCTGCTCTCACTACAACATGCAAAACGAGAGCTCATCAAACCGTGCGTATAGGGAAGCCACATCACACAATTTCAGGATACCATCTTACACCAGCTTCTGTCGTAACATAAGTTAACATATGGGTCTCATACTAAAAACTTTTCATACAAATAATGTAATAATATATTAAATGTAGCAATAGTAAGTTCATGAAGTGACAACGTTCCTTGTAGAACCCTTCATTAGGCTTAATGAACAATTAGAAATAAACAACACAGACCTGAACACTACAGCCATTTATTAAATTTGAGCACTACAACGGGGTTAATATAATATAATGATTGAATAATTACATATTGGAACTAAACAGAAACAATGAGATGGGAATGAATACAGTATTGGAATTAATTAAAGCAGTTTTGTGCACTCCGGGTCTTTACAATATGTCCCGTTTTCTGCACATAATAACTGCTGAGATTAAAATTATAAGATTCTGTATGTTGTTTCTATTATAATTTGTCTGATACATACGTGTGATAAAAATTCCTCTTCAAAAACCCAGACATATTGGCATATCAAGGTATATGTGAACTCAAGACTATTATGAGCCTGATGAAACATAGGGCATGGTGAAACATAGGGCATGTCCAGGGAGTATTAGCACAAATGTATTTGAAAATATTAGCTTACCTTACACACATAATCATCTCAGTAATGATGGTATTGGATGCGGTCATATATCAGAATACAAATGTTTACCTGCAACAAAATTAAAACCATTTGTTGGTACCTTATGAAAATTATAACATATGCTTAAGTCACTAAGACATACAGGTTGAAAAAAAGTATTTATTAATAGTGTTAATAACAATTATTGTTCCAGTAACTTGTACACATAATTTTGTAATGAGCAAGCTCGTTTAAGTAAATTATCCCCTTATCAAGACCATAATGACAGAAAAGAGAGTGTAGGATGTAGATAATTGAAATTAGTGAGTGATGAGTTTTATCAATATGGTCTGATGCCAAATAGAGTAACGCAAACCTCTCATATTCATGTATATTTAATAATCGCTTATTTGAATGTTGTTTTACTGCTTCGCAAAAATGCTGTGTACACGTCTCATAACAGTAAATTCCTTTATTTCCAGTGAAATTTATATACACTGCAAAAGGACACCGATATAACTATGTTTTCAATGAATGAATATTATTTTTGTAGATTACTTCTTTTATATGGATAAAATTAAATAATAAAGAGCTACACAATATTGTATTTTTGGAATTAATTATAAAAGTAGGGTTTTTGAATTAAAATATGATGTTTAAATCAACTCCAAAAGACGATTCAGTGTAGACTTAGTAATGAAAGTATATCATTTTTATTGAGTACACTTACACTCTTCCTCAAAAAAGTGTATTCAATGACCCCATCAAAGTGTCTGAAGTGCTTTTAAGAAGTAGAGAAGTACAACAAATACGACATTCCAACAAATGAATGGGTTTGCTTCAGTGAGAAATGTTGCCAGTATTCGAAACATATTTTCAACATAGAATGCAACTCAGAAAATATGAGCAAACTTTCTAACTGAAGGCATGTAATTACCATCGAGTACAAAACGGACACCCATTTATCCCAACTTCTCAGCAGTGGCACGCAGGCTTGGATTTATGAGCCCTCTCATCCTTTCTGCGTACCAATGGAAATTGTTCTCGCAATCATTCGCGCTCCGAAAACCTGACGCCGGAACAAAAAACGGTCTTCAACAGGACCATCCCATAGAAGATGCAATGTATATAATAATAATAATAATAATAATAATAATAATAAATAATAAATAATAAATAATAAATAATAAATAATAAATAATAAATAATAAATAATAAATAATAATAATAATAATAATAATAATAATAATAATAATAATAATAATAATAATAATAATAATAAAGAAAATTCAGGTTTGTTTAAAATTTGTTCATGTCTTGATCTTGTCTCAGCTATCTAGGCTGGCAAGCTCACAATAGTGAAGTGCAAATCACGAATATTTTGAGACATTTTGTGCAAACATCACGTTGATACTAAACTAGAGTTCTACTCAAGGATGTATAGAAACACATTTCATTACATTGTTCTTTGAAACGTCACAATGTTAGTGGTATTCCATTTGGTGTCCTTAAATTTGTATTGCACAGAAGATCAATTATATTGTAACTGTCGGGTAGATGATGCTGAACGTTGTGGTAACTGCATGGTCTGCATGCTTGTTTTATTCTAATTAGAATCAAATATGTTGTATGTCACTCAAATGAAGGAAATAGTTTGACACTAACTATATTTCTAGATATAATTGTATTTTAAAAAGAAGAAAAAATGAATAGAAGTTATCGTACATAAATATGTAAACATCTTTAAAGATACAATAGAATCTTCTATAATGAAAATGGTCTAATATCTGAATAATACAATTACTGCTCTGGTGGAACGAAACAAAACACATTTTTGTGAATATCAAACAAGGATTGACGTAGCGACCTTATGAAATATTTTAACTTTTCATCATATGTACAGAAGTGACAGTTGGCATTTCATTTCATTTAATGTTTGAAATTTCAAGATAATTTAATTTTCCACAAAAATAAAATAAAAAACAACAACTATTAGACATCCGTGTCTAAGGAATTTACTATTTTTTCAAATGTTGTTTGAAATTGTGAAAAAGAAAGAAAATAATGGTATTTTTTAAACGTTGATGATAAGATCATCACCGTATCACATTGTGCACTTAGATTCGACGGTTTCCAAACATATAAGTTGTAGTTTTCATTCTTTCACAAGCTTCGATGTTGTTTGATCGTGTGGCGGTAAATCTGTTCTAGCTTGTGTCCCCGAAACGCGCGCGCGCGTCTACCCTACACCACATTCACTGTTTAGATTTCCTTAAAAACACTTGCACAGACTCAAATACAACAAAATTAGTGATATTTATAAAAGTGGATTAATGATATTTTATATAAATGGATATTTACCCCACTGAAATAAAAAACTATTCTCGGCTGTAGATGGATATAATTATGCCGAATGAAAATCAGCGAGGTGCATTCAATGTCAGCGCAAACACGCATGTTCTTCCATGTTGGAAAAGCGACTGAACATGACGCGCGTTATCTCTCTCGCAAATCGTAAATAAATCATCGCAATTATCGCGGTTACTATGGCGAACAGCCACCCATAACAACTCACGTCATGCAGCGAGTTCATTCATCACTGCACCGATAATGAGCTAGAGGAGAGAATTTGCAAATAAAATGTACGTTGTGTCTCATTCGGGCCCATTATTGAGCTACAAAAACGTGGCAGGTGACACGTGAGAGCAATGCGTAGGCAAACGACATTCGTTGCAGAGAATTATTAACTCCCCAAATGTTCGCTTTTTTATGACAGTTCTATACGAATCGGAACACTCACCGTCCACCTCGTTTTTTGATTGATTGATTGATTGGTGATTTCGGGCGTGTTAACTGCTAAGGTGATTAGTCCCGTATGTATAGTGTACATTTTCTCTCGGGAGGTGGCGATGATCTTCCCCTACTGGATGATAATTTCCGGCGCCGACCTACCTGTCGGCTAGCAGAGTTTTTCCTAAACAGGTGTCTCCACTAGCGGGGCAGCGCCCCAGCTGGGATAAGCCCTATAAGCTTTCGATCGGTCTCCCGGTATGTGTGATAGTGTAGTGCATGTATGCGTAAGTGTGTGTAATAAGGAAGGGAAAGGATTGATCGCAACCAGTCCGTGGCCCATTTGTTAGGGTACTGCTCCATCATTCGTCTGGTCGTCCGACTCGTAGCGGTTGTGTTTAGACTTAAATTATAATCCTGACGTGTGCTGGAGGAACTGTTTGTCATGGCACCGATTTCACTGAGATTTTCGACCTTTTGACTAATAATCGAGTATTTGAATGAGGGCCACATGACTAGCTCGTGAAAAATGCTGCTGCACAGTAATTCAGAAGTGTTTCCTTTTAAGTCTTTTATTTAATGTTTTCGGCATCGGAACTGATGAATGAGACGACTGGATTGAATGTAACCTACGGTGGTTGTAGGGAATTATTGGGTGTACCGGAAGATATTGAGGTTTTGGCGTAAACCTAGAATATTGAAGAAAGATTCCTTTTCAATTGAAACATATTCTTTACTATTAGATCTCGAGCGTGTCATTTCATCAACATTTTTTTTCAAAAGTCTAGTTACTTTTGCCAACTATTGAGTTATATCATTTGAGTTTTTCAACTGAATGCTGAAATCTTTATAGGTCATATTATGCAATATTATAATATTACGTAATTGTTATCAATAAAACAGATTTTGCTGCCGTAACTGCCTTGGATCTCTGTTATAGATTTCTATGGATCTCAAGTATCTACGAGTACATGGCTACTCTTCGAAATGTGGCAAACTTTGTTTTATATTGATTTTATCAAGATGTTTAGGTCAATGATTTAGTTATAAAAACGTTTGTCCAAAGAACCATTTAAACACTTCACACTAGTAAGATTCCAAATTTAGATTTTCAGTGAGATATATGTGTATTTTAGAATATTTTGATTGTAAGCCTCTTTCATATTATGTACTAATCGTTATGTAATATCTACGAGAGTACTTTTCATTCTTTTTTATGGAGGAGGACTAGTATATTTGTATCTGGTCTGTGTGTCAGATGTTTTATCAGTTTTGATTTCTCTGTTGCAAGAAATTTCAACTAGATCATTCTCAATAGCTGAGGGAGGTTCTTAGTTACAATGTAGATTATTCTTCTATTCTCTTCTATTAACCGAAAATTGGTCTTCAACTACGTCGACAATTGAGGCATCATTATTGTGACGTCAAAGATCCTAAACTTTCGCAAACGCTGCATGATCCAGAGACATGTTCGATGGATTGATATTCTTGATACTGATTCTATTAATTCTTCAGATTTAAATCTATATTTTTAAGTTCCAATACGTATCACAGGATGTCAGGCATAATCCTATTTTTCAATGTAGAAGTCACGTCTTTTCAGTTATGTTGAATGCTTTACGGCTTCTGTGAGGCTCATCAAGATGAGATAGATACTACCATGAATGGATTTCTGCTACTAACAGACCAGAACAGAATTTGCACTGTGAAAGTTTCACTGTCAAAAATATTTTTCGATGCTTTCAATTTATTGGGCATGCGACTGAAGAAGATGAATCAATAAAAGGGGGATAGGTGGTAAGTGGTTTCTATGATTTTATCTTGGAGTTCCTAGACTCGTCTGGGAGAACCGCATTCTATATCATTTCAATCGAATTTCCTTCTCTATGACTTCAAGATCAGTTTCGAACTATCTTATAATCCTAAAGAAGTAAGATAAGATAGGGATGGCGTATGTGTGTAAATCTTTCAATTTTTTGGTAGCTATGAAGTTTGATTTAAGGATCATTTGTACTTTTGTGTTTGTTGTTGCCCTTTATGTTTGAATGGACTATTCCTTTGAGTTGCTTAAATCGAAGATATTTGTAGGTTCTGTTATTAATATTTTTATTATTGTTATGACATTTTATTCTCTCTCTCTCTCTCTTCGTTTGAAATAATTTGTTATTATGTCAAGCAAATTTAAATCAGAGCACTTATTTACTTCACAAGAATATGATAATAATAATACCGTCAACGTATTAATGAATCTCATATTCGCCCGCGACAAATTTAAATCTGTACTTTTGTTATTTTACGCCGGTACTTACTTACGCTCATCAATAAGTCTAATTGATATTGCCCCTCTGTTGGCTGATGGACAGCTTAGATTTCTGTGAAGCGGTAAAACGGATTAGAATCCAGGCCGCTGCAAAAATGAACTGTAGTTTTCCAATACAAACAGTCTCAGTTTCTATAGCTGTGCGACGAAAAACAAAAATACTCAGGCCAACCAATTAAGCTAATTACGGCGATGGAAATATGTCATGCTCCGCACATGTCTCCTCTACCTCCGGGCGTCGATAAATAATAAAAAGCCCGGGCCTGGGAACACCGGATTAAACCGACCCTAAAATGCCTAAAAGAGACATTCATATTGATTGATGATACTTTGAGTGTAGCGTCAGCACGAAGATTAGCTATCACTATAATCTCCTACTTAGAGAAAGCAGAATGCAATATTTGATGAGATTTCGCTTTCCGCTTGGAACGTGAGGTCCTGCCAGCGTAAGCCCTCACGCACCCCGCCCGGGAGGCTCTATAAACACCGCAGAGATTGTGTAGTGCGCACCGGGAGGGCGGGGCTGAGTGTTTTAACGCTCCTCTCGCAGCCGATTAATTCCCCGCCAGGCGCCGGGTCGCGCTGCCATTTACTGCGCGGATCAGCGCGCGAGGGCTTCGCGGCCACTCGCAGCGCGGAGCATCCCCTTCAAGAGCGAGCGCGGAGGCGGGGGACGCGGCGAGCGGGTGCGGGTAATGTTTAAGGATGGGGACGTAGTGCCCCGTGAGCACGGGGAAGGGAGGGCGCGGCAGAGAGGCGAGCGCGGACGCGGGGACGCGGCCGACGGGGTGGGCGGGGGATGTTTAAGGGTGGGGACGTATGTGCCCGTGAGCACGGGGAAGGGAGGGCGCGGCAGGGAGAGCGAGCGCGACGCGCCGGACGCGGCGACCGGGGTGGCGGGGGATGTTTTAAGGGTGGGGACGTAGTGCCCGTGAGGCACGGGGAAAGGGAGGGCGGCGCAGGGAAAGAGCGAGCGCGGACGCGGGGGGACGCGGCGACCGGGTGGGGCCGGGGATTTTAAGGGTGGGACGTAGTGCCCGTGAGGCACGGGGAAAGGTGAAGGCGCGAAGGGAATGCGAGCGCGGACGCGCCCGGAGACGCGGCGACCGGGTGGCGGGGGATGTTTTAAGGTGGGGAACGTAGTGCCCACGTGAGCACAGGGGAAGGGAAGGAGACGCTGGCAGGGAGAGGCGAGCGCTGGACGCGGGGGACCGCGGCCACGGCGGGTGCGCGGCGGATGTTTAAGGTGGGGACCGTAGCTGGCCCAGTGAGCACGGGGAAGGAGGGCGCGGCCAGGGACGAGCCGCGACGCGGCGGGACGCGCCGGGGTGCGGGGAGTTTAAGCGGTGGGAACGTACGTGTCCCACGGTGAGCACGGGGAGGAGGAGCGCAGCGGGGACAGAGAAGACCTGAAGGCAGAGGAACGAGGCGAGGTGGTGCCGGCGGGGATGTTTAGGGGGGCGTAGTGCGCCTTGGAGCACGGGAAAGGGAGGGCCCCCGGCGGCGGGAAAGAGAGAGCGACGGAGGCAGGGGGTCGGGAAGGCGTGGGCGGCCGGCGAGTTTAAATGTGGGGATGTTAGCGCTTACGCGCGGCGTGGGGGAGGGGAGGACGCGCTGGAGACAAGGAGCGCCGGCTGGAAGGGGGTAAGCGGCGTGGGCGCGGGCAGGAGGTTTAAGGGGGGACGCGTCGGGGCTGCGTAGGCATGGGAAGAGCAGGACGCACCGGAAAGGGGAGCCGCGGTTGGCAGGGTTGGGGTGGCGTGGACGGGGCGATGTTTTTTTAAGGAGCGGGGGTCCGTGGGGTTGCGTGGGCGGTGGGGTAGGGAGGGCACGCCGAGGAGAGAGAGAGCCGGAAGGCAGGGGCGGGGGAGTGGTGGGCGGGGGAATTTAAGGGGGGGTCGTAGTGCCCCATCAAGCACGCGGGAAAGGGAGGCGCGCGGAAAGATAGCAGCGCGAGGCCGGGGGTGGGCGGTGTAGGCAACCCGCGCGGGAAATTTTTTGGAAAGGTGCGGGAACGTTGGGCCCTTTTTGCGGTTTTGCTGGTGAAGGGAAAGACGCGCGCGGAGGGAGCGCGCGGTGGCAGGACGGTGGGCGCGCGTGGGTGCGGTGCGGCAAAGTTTAATGAGTGGTGGGGACGTGGGCTGCGTGGGCGTTGGGAGGAGGACGCGCGCGGAGAGAGGGAGCGAGGTGGCAATGGATGTGGCGGCGGTGGCGAAGTTATGAGTTGGGTGGCGACAGTGGCTACGTCGGCGGCGCTGGAGGAAGGGAGGATCACGCCGGGAGAGAGAGCGCGGAGGCGGAGGACACACTGTGGCAGGCGGGAGTGGTAGGGAGCGGCGGCGATGCATCGAGAAGTCACGAACCTTTGTCAGGACGCGGGGTGGGACGGACAGCGGACAGAGGCCCCAGCGCCGGTCGCGCGGGCAGGCAAACTGGTGACGCCGCTGGGTACGTGGCACCGACAGGGCACGAAGAAGGAATCGTCGAGTTTGTCTTTGCGCGATATGCTGGCAACATTTATGGGAAACCCAATGTCCGTAGGTCTGGCAATCAATTGACGTCAATAGAAAAATAACGTATCTTTCAGAAAAAACGAGCTTGTACGCGAATCGAAAATCCAAAAATATGCATAACACTGAAAACTACTTAGTTTGGACAGAAAACCGCCAAAGTACGTTAAATTCTTTTATTGAATTATCGATGCTGTCTTCTGACTATTTTGGGTTATATACGATTACAAAAATAGTGAATACGTTCATACATGAAATGCTGATTGTATCATGACATATGTAATACACATGCCTTCATTCCAAAAAAAACTATAGATTCTTTTATAATCTTTGAATATAACACTGCATTTTACGTATAGGATAATCTATACTTTTTGACTATAGAATGGAAAACATATGGCCATTACAGCGCCCTAGTTAGGTAAAGTAATTAAATTTTTTCGTGCCATAAATTAGCCTCAATATACACATAACCTTCAAAAATCACCTAAACCAAATAAGTTAGTGTAGCCCTGACATATCTTTGAAGGCACCATGATGTAAGAAATTTAACTACAAAGTCCATGCCGTATTATATTAGGTAGCCATTCTTATGGTGTAATTAGTGTCGAAACGTTAAGTGTTAATCATGAACAGATTTTGTCAACAGACGTCAGGCGACAAAACAGGGAGATGACGTGACGCAGTCAATTCCGACGTGCATCGAAATCCCGTCATTGGATTCTAGCACATGCGTTGTAGGAATTCTCTCCAGAATTGGCGCGTTACGCTATTTTCAAAATTCAGACTCGACTCAAAATTTCTCTTATTGGCTTAAAAAGAAAGGCAGTAAGCGAGAAGATGCGAATTCTCGGGGCCGACACCTCACAATGAATAATTCTCTAAGAATCAGGCCCGACGAAGAGGAATATTTAGCTGCTGTCAAGATGGTAACGCAATAAAAATAGTTGTTTGCAGAACCTTTGCATGAAAATTTGTGCAATACTCTACAAACAAAGCGTTAGTTAATTCCTCCACGAAGCATTAATCATGTACAGACATCAATAATAAGACCAATCACACACTAGCTGAAGTATCTGTGTATGTTTTTAGAGAATCGTCTATTAAGACAGGAAAAAGAATGAATTTTCATCTACAGAGATATAATCAGTATTAATTTTTATTGACATACCAAAAGCCTAAATTTTTTGTTTCGCCTACACTATTTTATAAAATCTAAAGAAATAAGTCACTCCCGTATACCTGTACTTTATTTGGTGGCAAGTGACCTGAATATACTAAGTTATGAAAACAATAACAATAGTTTATCCGTGTTCAGTGAAAGTAGGAATACTGCAGGATATATCAATTCATCACAAGGAAGAGTTATTTGGTTTTACATCCCGAGCCCCGTAAGTTAAATAATTTGCCAAAATAAATGCAAATGCGAGGCAGATTGAAGTGGCGTACAACAATCCTCCGCGCGAGGGCATCAAGCGCGACCTGTGCACCGCGCGCGCGTGGGGCCTGAAAGCACGGGCCCGTAAGCACGCGTCGCATGAGCCCCATGTGTTAAACCGACGAGGGCTTAGCAGTTAAGACGCTCCGTGTGGTGGCACCCAATCCGACACTCGCCCTCACGCGCTGTGCCCCGCAGGCATCCGCGCACGCCACCCTCCCTCACACTCCACGCCAGGCACCGCCACCACCCGCTCGAGCCGCTGTTCCTTCCCGCGGCAGGGAAAAGCTCCCCGTGGGCGGGGCGGGAGCTCGTGGCGTTCCGCAGCGCACCGCGCGCGTGTGAGCACGGAAGTGCGCATAGCGTTAGGGAGACGAGCGAGACGAACGGGGCACTCCTAGGGGGAGAAGGCGGGGGAGAAGTGGGGAAGAAGGCGAGGGATGAGGCGCTGAGAGCAGGCTGGAATGAGCTAGGGAGAGGCAAGGGAGAGGCTGCGATGGGAGAGGCTATGGGAGGAGGAGGGCTAGGGAGAGGCTAGTGAGAGGCTCGGGAGAGGCTGGAAGAGGTAGAATGAGGCAGCAGGCCTGAGAGGCTTAGGAGAGGCTAGGGAGAGGCTAGGAAGACGGCAGACAGAAGGCTAGGGAGAGGCAGGGAGAGGGACTAGGGAGAAGCTAAAAGGAGGCTGAGGCTAGGGAGAGGCTAGGGAGAGGCTAGAGAGAGGCCTACGGGGAGAGGCTAGGGAGAGGCTAGGGAGAGGCTAGGGAGAGGCTTAGAGGGAGAGGCTAGCGGAGTGAGAGAGGCAGTGCCAGGCTAGGAGAGGCGTAGAGGAGGAAAGCTGGCGAGAGGCTGGACGATGGCAGGAGAGGCTAGGGAGAGGCTAGGGGAGGCTTAGGAGAGGCTTAGGCGGGGCTAGAGGGTAGAGCCAGAGGAGGAGGGGGCTACATGGGGGGAAGGGTAGGGAGAGGCCTAGGGAGAGCTCGAGGGAGGTAGAAGCTAGGGAAGGCTAGGAAGAGAGGCTGAGGGAGAGGGCTGAAGACAGAGGCTAAGGAGAGGCACAGGAGAGAGTGAGAGCTAGAGAGACGGCTAGTGAGAAGGCCTAGGAGAGCGGGAGGCTAAGGGCAGAGGCTTAGGGAGATGCTAGGAAGGCTTGGCGAGAGGCTAGAGAGAGGCAGGAGAGGCTATGGGAAGAGGCTAGGGAGAGCTAGAGAGAGGCTAGGGAGAGGCTAGGGAGAGGGCTAGGAGAGGCTTAGGAGCAGGCTAGGGAGAGGCTGAAGGCTCGAGAGGCTAGGAGAGGCTAGAGAGAGGCTAGAGAGAGGAGAGCTAGGGAGGGAGGAGAGCTAGGGCAGAGAGCTAGGGAGAGGCTAGGGAGAAGCTAGGAGAGGCTAGGGAGAGCTTAAGAGAGAGGCTGGAGAGGCTAGGAGAGGCTGGGAAGAGGCTAGGGAGAGGCTAGGGAAGGAGGCGCAGAGAGAGGCTATAGGAGAGGCTAGGGAGGGCTAGGGAGAGGCTAGGAGAGGCTAGGAGAGAGGCTAGAGAGAGCTAGGGAGAAGAGCTAGGGAGAGGCTAGGGAGAGGCTAGGGAGAGGCTAGGGAGAGGCTAAGAGAGGCTTAGGGAGGGTCTTGGGAGAGGCTTAGGGAGAAGGCAAGGGAGAGGCTAAACGGGAGAGGCTATGGAGAGGCTTGGGAAGGGGCTAGGTAAGAGGCTAGAGAGATGCTAAAATAAAGCTAGGGAGAGCTAGAGGGAAGGCTAGGGAAGGCTACTGTAAAAAGGGCTTAAACACAAACTGGGAGAAGTTAGGGAGAAGCTACGGAGAAATGCTAGGAAGGTAGAGAGAGGCTAGGGAGAGGCTACGGAGAAGGCTAGAGAGAGGTAGGGAGAGGCTTGGGAGAGGCTAGGGAGATGGCTAGGATGAGGCTAGGGAGAGGCTAGGGAAGAGGCTAGGGAGAGGCTAGGGAGAATGGCACAAGGGAGAAGGCTAGGAGAGGCTAGGGGAGAGGACTGAGAAGAGGAAGGCATTAGGGAGAGGCTTGGAAGAGGGCTAGTGAGAACTAGGGAGAAGGCTAGGGAGAGCTAGGGAGAGGCTAGGAGAGGCTAGGAGAGGCTAGGGAGAGGCTGAGAGAGGCTAGGAGAGGCCTGGGGAGAAGAGCTAGGGAGGAAGGCCTGGGAGAGGCTAGAGGAGAGGCTACGGAGAGCCGGGAGAAGGCTAGGAGAGGCTAGGGAGAGGCCTAGGGAGAGGCTTGGGAGGGCTAGGAAGAGGGCTTAGAGAGATCTAAGGAGGAGGCTAGGGAGAGGCTAGAGGGGAGGTTAGGGAGAGGCTTAGGGAGAGCCTGGGAGAGGCTAGGGAGAGGCTAGGGAGAGGGTTAGTGGAGAAGCTATCGGAAGGGGGAAGAAAATGCCCTTTAGGAGAAGGTTTAGAGAGAGGCTAGGGAGAGGCTACGGAGAGGCTAGGAAGAGGCTAGGGAGAGGCTTGGGAGAGGCTTGGGAGAATTGGTGTGAGGCTCTTCGGTAAGGGAGACTGAACACGTATCGCTCGCGATCTTTCATTTCCTTATCGTTTCCCCTCCTCGTCCCTTATACACACACAAATGCATTACAATATCACACACGTGAGGAGACCAGTCGGGAGCTTGAAGGTTATCCTGGATCGTTAGGTTTCCCACTGGGAGAAAATCCTCCAAGCTTACGTATAGGTCGGCACATGATCTCACGTTACACAGGGAGGGAACACCGCCACCTCCCTGAATATTGCATGTCATATACTAATGGGACTGGTAAATATAGCAGTTGAAGTGCTCGGAAACCTGAAATAATCAGTCAATCGTGGTCAGCTAATCCTGGATCCCGGCATCGACTCCCATCACGAATCTAATTTTTTCTTCATTTTGTCCTAAAAAAAAGCAAAATTATCTTAAGAATAAGTCATGACACCAGTTTCCATTCAAATGTCTGAAATTTCGAACATTGCCAATTTGAAACTCCCAGTCTTTTTTTCCTGTCACGAGTTCTTCAAAAGATGGCTGGGCAATTATTAAGATGAGAAGTTGCAATATTGTAGTATTTCGTGACAAATAATGCAATAGTGTGTTGCTGTAGAAACTTTAATTTGAATGATTCGCCTCTCACACGTAATCTATCCTCATTTGCGCACTTCTGGAAAGGCCGGGCAGCCGGGCAGTCCCCGCGGAGCAGCCAGTCCTGTCACGAAGCCTGCGACGCGACAGGAAACTGTGCATCGATACGGAAGAATCAAGAGACCAATGTAAGACGACAAAAAGCCGAAAACAAGTTATGTTTTTTCTTGGGATTAACGTATGCTTATTAAAATGCTTTAAAACCTCGGTCAGGTCCCATTTTCGAAGAACCCTGTTCTGGCTACTGCAACTAATTCTGGAAATTTTGAGTTGACTGTATTGATGAGATGAAGGCGGAGCACAGCACTCCAGAAACCATTTAATAGCTCAGGGAGGATTTATGTAGAAATTCTGGAATGACAGAAAAGAAGTTCTTGCACAAATACATTTAATAATCACTGTATTTAAACACTTGATTACATGGCACACTTACAACTTCACAGTACATGATAGTTGGAGCACAGTACTAGTAAATTTCCTGGTGTGAATGGTCTAGTGCAAATAACTTACATTACACAGACAACACAGGTGAAATTGGTTGCAGCGCACAAATTGGGTAGAGCCGTACTTCGCACGAATAAATGCTTCTTTGCGCGTGCTAACCGGGAACACCCGAGATTGCACAAAAACTGAATGTCCAAGTGGTCTGATGCAGATAACCTACACTACACAGACGGTACACTTGAAAATCACAGCCCGAGGTTGGACAGCAAAACTTTTACGTATGTTAATTGCATACGGAACCCGCCAACACGGACCACACGTGTGGCTTGCGCGCTGCTTGGTTCGAACTGAATTGGCGGGTTAACGACGGGTCCTTCGTCAGACTGCGAACGCTCGTGCACTCGCGAGGAGGGGATGGCAGTGGCCTATCACAATTAACTATTCGAATTTGACGATAGAACGTTTTGTAAGGTTCCGTCCGTTGCGAGCTGCAACGGGCGCAGGGGCGCGAGGCTCTCACGTGCGATTCTTGGAAACCCGAGGGCGCTCTCCTGTGACGTAGCCTTATCGAGGCAACGGTCTGGCGTTGTGCCGGTTACAAATCAACTGTTCTGCCTTGCGTCTTATGAAATAAAATTATATTTTTTCTGCTTTGCTGGGGGCCCGAACAAACCCTTTGTTTTACTCAATTTAAAAAAAGAAAATTTTGTGGCTTCCTGTCTCTACAATATTGAAGTTTGAGATTTTTTCTAAATGACATCTAATCTTGAAAGTTAAATCTTGACATAGAATATCTCTACATTTTAGAAAATTGTAAATGCACATGGTCAACTTCGTTTTTATAGCGTCGAGAAATTCGTTTTTCGTGTGTGGCTGGAGGGTGGAGGAGTAACGTTAATGCCGTGCTAAAGCTAAGAACCAAAGTTCGAATTCTTGCGAATTGACGAAAATTTAAAGTGGAGAATAAATCAATATTTTGAAAATTATGTACTCTATACAACAAAATTAATGTGATGATTGGATAGTCTGAAACATTTGTATGTAGAACCGATAAGCGAATTGCAGAGGATTTATTGTGTAAACAGTGAACGGGATATTCCTAGATTAATCTCCAGGAGACAGACTACATTATTGTTTGAATGAACTTCCAGTGTTCGAGCGTTTTTAGTGATTTCTTGCATTATTTTATTAAGAGTGGATATTTGGAGGTCGTGATGTAATACTGCGTTTGGCATTTACCAAGATGCAGTTATAATCATTCTGAAAATTTTATTTTGAAATCTCTGTAAAACCGATTGATGTATGATTGCATTGATTTATCTTTGCCAAAAAATAGTCAGACATTAAATGACATAAGAAATATGCGCATGTTTTTATGAGCTCCAGAATCTCATTCTTTCCTTTCAATCAAAAATTGTTCAATAACAGTTGAATAATATATAAAAATAACAACAAAGTGAGGTTGGCGACATCTCAAAACTTTAGCTCCCAAATTATCATTGGTAAACGTTCTACATAATCAAGTTTTGAATATTGTTAACAAAATAGTAACTCCCACTCCTGGCTTCACTCTTACCACAACTAGCAGAAAAAAGCAAAACAAAGCGTTTCCATTGTGAAGCTGAATTTGCTGGCAGTGTACTAGATCCTTTGAAAATACTGTGACACGTCAAAACAATGACTCATTTCTCAGCAACGCACGATATTTAATTTATTTGTATAATTAAACACGAACCACATCCATCAATTTCTCTTCTCAGTAATCGCACACACCAAATGGCCGGTTCCTGTGCTGACTCCCGAAATAGAACGGCATGAATAACAAAGCTGTTCTCGAAACACGGTAGATGCTTTTGAAATGTCAAATAACAAAAACCAATATAACGTTCCATTTCACGTGTGGTTCGCTTCTTGTTTTACAGCCCTTCTACATGGGAAACATATTTTACAGGAATGTTTACAACAACTTTCACTGTAATATTACTAAAGTAAATAGCGTGATCTGGCAGACTATCCGATAGAAGCATCCAAAAGGAAAGTAATTTTAATTTTAACAATGAAGTTTAATATATTATTTACCATTTGGGCTGTATAATTCTAAAGAACCTCTAACAAGTATTGTAGTTCACCTTCTGGGTCAATAACCCCATTTCGATCAGGTTTTCGTCCACTTTCCCTGATCCTTTTCCTACAGATGCTGAGATGGCTCCTCGTTTTGCTTCTCGAAATAAATGCAAATTCAAATTAACTTCTCCCCATAGCACGTCACACACACTTTTTAACTGCTTTTATATATATAACTGTTAAAAACTGCAGTTATATTGCACAGAGTGGCGGGACAACGCGAGCAGTGAGTTTACTAGGAAACAGAGGCCTGTGATTCATGACAGCGTTTCGCGTCGGGAAGGACCGAGGTCAGGAACAGAAATCTTCATTTTCTTTTAAGCTATACCTAACCCATAGTCTGGATGCAATAAGGACAGAAAGTAAAGAAAACAAAAGAAACCAGAAAAAAGTTAAAGAATGAGCTCACTCCAGATTTTTCTATGACGTTAGACAGTGATTGTTGTCAGGAAATTTCTGGCTATGTGCAACAGGACAAAATATTTAAATGAATTATTTAAATGAACTGATCACTATATTAAGTTCGTTACGCTACGCGTTCAAATTCAATCAACCTTCGTACTGTAACATACGTATAATTGGGGTATGTTCATTCCCCCTCATGATTCGGCATAATATTGAGAAAAAATACATCCTATAGATATTAGATTACAGACACGATTTGTACAAAAAATAAGCAAATTCTACTCATGTTATTCTTGTAGGTCTTTCTTTATTGAGGTAGGATTGTACCACTGCCTAGGCCCTTGATTTACGAATCAGTGTCTTTATCTGAAATTATATACTCAAGGATACGAACTAGGGTACTAACACATTTCACCATCTAAGCACCATCTTAGGCTCAGTGAGTAATATAGTTTTCAAATGCAAGTATTCAAATAATCATTTTTCATGTTCTCGTGGTGTGATCTGGGCTGTCCGGGTGACGCCGCGTCGAAGGCTGTGTTGCCGACGTTTCGACCATCCTGTCGTGGACTTCCTAACATACCAGCCCTGAGGAAGACCACGACAGGATGGTCGAAACGTCGGCTACAAAGCCTTCGACGCGGCGTCACCCGGACAGCACAGATCACCCACATGACTCTGGCCGCGGAAGCCTATGACTTCATGTTCCCATGGCATTAACTGACGTAATTAGTAAGATGATTCTGTCGCAATGGGGACGATCAGGGATAGCAGCGAAAACATGAAATTGTTTTGCCTTTGTAAATAGATTTTTGTTGAGCGCGAGCATTTTTTTCTTACGAAACTTTGCCAGAAACGCTTGTTGTTTCCTTTATTCAAAATTCAGCTTAATGTCAATTCGGGTAGTGTGCCCAGTGAAAACTAACTCATATTGCACTTTTCTCAATAGTATGTCACAATGGGTATTAACTGTTTCTGACGTTAAATTAATAAAAATAATAAAATTAATAAAAATAATAAATTAAAGGACACAAAGTGGAGAGAAGAGCGTGAAACACATGACTTGAGGTGTTGAAGTATTGACGGCGCAAAGCAGCAATGGTGGGGGCGCGGAGGCCCTGGCGGTCTGAGGTTGAGAGAGGCTTCGCGCTGAGGAAGGCCTGGTGGCAGAGGTGCAGACGGGGCGGGTGGCCTGCGCAACGTCGATGAGGGCGGCGGCCCAGACAGCGGTGGCGGAATGGCTGCTCCCATTAGCCGCGATCCACAATAAACACCCTCGGCGTCGGCTCCTCCCCCCTGAGAGCTTCATGACTTCCTGCCCACAACTCCACTCCGCCTCTCCACGTCAGTAACAGCCAGAGTTCTAGTAAACCATTAAGCCCCATTCGACACTTCAATGAGTAGAGTGAATGAATGAATATAGGTGTTGTGGTGTGATATCTTTGGCATTTTAAAAATAATTAAAGATGTTGTCATTGCCAAAAATATTTTTAATGCAATAGCAGCTTTCGGTGGCTTAGCCATCATCAT